TGTCTTCATAGATTGGACCAGAACTGAGGCTCAGATCCTCCCCAGACGAACGCCTTTAATAAATAAAACCTTTTATTTTAATTTTGTCCTGAGTCAGGTGTTGTGCTGATCCATACAGACTCGTTACATTAAGACCTATTGTTAGCATGATTAACTCTGTCACTTACAATGTTTCCAAATATCTGGCGTCTGTACTCATCCCTTTAGTTGGCAGCTCAGAACACCACATACAGAACACCATGGACTTTGTGGATAAGGTGAGGGATGTCATCATGGAGACTGATGAAACAATGGTCTCTTTTGATGTCACATCACTCTTTACGTGCATTCCTGTTGATGATGCAGTAGAGGTGGTCAGTTTAAGATTAAAATCAGACACCACTCTGAGCAGCAGGACCACGCTTTCCACAGAACAACTGTGTCAACTCTTGAAACTGTGCCTGCAGTCAACCTACTTCACATATAGGGAGCAATATTATAGGCAGAAACATGGGTGTGCTATGGGGTCTCCAGTTTCTCCTATTGTTGCCAACCTGTACATGGAGGAGGTAGAAAAGAGAGCCTTGACGTCCTTTTCAGGGACACCACCAAGTCATTGGTTCAGGTATGTTGACGACACCTGGGTTAAAATTAAATCTCAGGAAGTCCAACATTTTACTGACCACATCAACTCTGTGGATAAATACATCAAGTTCACACGAGAAGATGAAAAATATGGCAAGTTGGCTTTCTTGGACTGTGAGGTCTCAGTCTCTGATAGAGGACATTTGCAAACTGAGGTGTACCGCAAACCCACCCACACAGACCAATATTTGCAGTTTGACTCCCATCACCCTTTGGAGCACAAGTTAGGAGTCATCAGGACTCTGTATCACAGAGCAGACAGCGTCCCCACTAACTCAGGAGCCAGGCAGAAGGAGAAATCCCACACAAGACAGGCTCTAGAGCAATGTGGATATCCTAACTGGGCCTTCCTGAAAGCAGGGAAGAAACCCAAATAGGACTCCAGTCAGCCAACAGGTGAAAAGGAGGAACCCAGACCCAGACCAGTGGTCATTCCATATGTTGAGGGAGTATCAGAGAAACGGAGACGTTTATTTTCTAAACATAACGTCCCAGTGGCTTTTAAACCCCAAAATACATTACGGCAAAGACTGGTTCATCCCAAAGATCCAGTCCCCCGGCACAAACAGAGTAATGTTGTGTATGCTGTTCAGTGTCAGGAGGGCTGTGATCAGTCTTACATCGGGGAAACAAAACAGCCACTGGCCAAAAGGATGGACCAGCACAGAAGATCAACATCATCAGGCCAGGACTCTGCGGTCTACACTCATCTCCAGGCCAGCGGTCACTCTTTCAGGGATGAAGATGTTCACATCCTGGATAGAGAGGAACAATGGTTTGAGAGAGGAGTAAAGGAGGCCATCTTTGTGAAAAGAAATCGTCCATCATTAAACAGGGGTGGAGCCTCCGGGTTCAACTGTCCCCCTCTTACTATGCTGTGATTGCTAGTATCACTCAGCCCTCTGTGAACAGTAAACAAGCATCAGTGTGCTAATGATCCATTGTTAGGCTGATGGTCCTTCTTGAGCATGTGATCAGCTGGTTTTGGTTGTCAGCAGCAAAACTGGTTGATCCACTCTGAGAAGGTGCTATTTAAGAGACTGAGCTGAATACAGCGCCTCAGACTGAGGAAGTCTCTCAGATGAGAGACGAAACGTTTCTACATTTTGTTGTTGTTTTGCTTTGTTTTGTTTTTTTGAATGTCCAGAGGACCAGATTTAACTTTTTTAGATATATACAGTATCATGTACATTTAAGCTTATATTACTACCTGTGAAATAGTTCATACGAATTCAACCTACTTGCACCGTTATATACTACCATGTTATATTTCTTTTGGACCTTCTAAATATTTTTTTTTTTTCACTTTTTGGCACTTTACTTTGTACCCTTATTGCATGCTTTAGTATTTCTTGTTTTTTTTTTTGTTGTTGTTGTTTGTTTTTAGCAAGTCGAATCGGTTCTTCTCATTCTGAACTCATTGCATTGTTGACCTTGTGTTGACCTGCATATGACAAATAAACAACTTAACATTGCCACATTGTGGGCAGCTGTGGCTGAGTGGTTAAAGCAGTCCTCCTCCAATACGAGAGTTGGGGGTTCGAATCCACCAGCAGTCACATGCTGAAGTGTCCCTGGTCAAGACACTGAACCCCTCATTGCCTCCGTTGTGTGTCCCATCAGTGTACGAATGTGATAAAGCTCTGATTAGTCTCTTTAGAATGATTTGTTCAATTACCGGTAGCTTTGTAGAGATCTAGTAGAGTGCTGTGTTAATGGGTAAATGAGACACAGATTGTTTTGTAAAGAGCTTTGAGTATCTCGATAAGATAGAAAGGCGCTATATAAGTACAGTCCATTTACCATTTACCTTAACAAATGTTTAATCTTTGCTACATTTTTCTAATTTGTTCATGTTTTTAGCACATTCTAGATACAAGATGTATATTTAAAGAACCAGAACTGTGTTCCTACAGAGTGAGATGTTTCATTTACCAGTGGTTATGCTGGAGACCTTGATGGGTTTTTCCCAGTAGTACAGAACGTAGCCGTGGATGAAGGCGGACTGTTGTCTGAGAGGAACAGGGTCCCAGGAAACCACAGCGTCCGAGTCCTGCTGGTTGAACTTCAGTGATGTGAACAGCTTGCCTTCTATTCCTGGAGAAAAGGATGAAGAACTGATGAACACAATCTCACCAATGGAGAGTCCAGAAAACGTTAGAGAAATGTGACCTCACGTGTCTCTGCAATGTAACCTTCTCTTTTCTCCAGCAGTACCGGAGCACCTTTGGTGCAGGCATAAATCAACAACAAGTACCTGAGTCCTTCTGTCAGGTGTTCTGGGAATTTAAAAAAAAGTTTAACATAACAATATCAAACTGCTGGTTTGCCAAAACTATTAACTGAGTCAGCATTTATACATAATTGTTTTTGTTTTTTTTGGTTAAAGTCTCTTCTATACTTTTTTGCAACCAAAGTACTTCCATATATTTTCTGCTTTTTTATCAATTCATAATGTTCAGCTCCACGGGGAATAATGTGCTATAACTGTTAGCTTTTCTAACTTTTATACTTTTTGAATTATTTACCTCCATTTACAAATATTTTCCCCACAGAAATATATTGGGATCTCTTTAGTTCATTCAAAATCATTGTAACTTTTAGCTACATTTTTTCTCAGTTGAAAGTTTAGCTACTGTCCTGATAATTTAGGTTTAGGTACATTCTTGCAAATTCATCTTCCCTCCTCATGGTCGAAGAACGCTAAATGTGTGGCCAGTGACAGGCAAAGGTGAAGAGCTGGCTGACATGATGCAGAGAAGGAAGGTAGATGATTTTATGTGTCCAAGAGACCAAGTGGAAGGGCAGCAAGACTCACAGCATTGGAGCAGAGTTTAAACTGTTTTACCATGGTGTGAATAGAAAGAGAAATGGAGTAGGGGTGGTCCTGAAAGAGTTCGTAAAGAATATAGTAAAGATGAAAAGAGTGCCACATAGGTCAAGGGTCTTTGTTGTCATTTGCATCACATGTGATACATGAGTTGGAACGAAATTATAAATTGTAAAAAAAAAAAACAGTAATAAGATCCAAGAAAGATCTAAAGAGCTAGCTCTATAGATCTAGATCTATCTAGATCTTAAAACGGTAGAAGGAACCTAAAAATTACCATCAGCAAGTGAAGAGAGCACATTTTCGCTGAAATTATCTGGAACAAAAAGGTTGAAATAAGTGCAAAAATGTGAAATAAGCTGAAAAAGCTCACATTAGCATAAAAACAGCTAAATAGTAGCTGAAATAGCAGAGAAAGTTGAAACTTGCAGAAATAAGCTGAAGGGAGCAGTAAAAGGTTGCAAACAGATCTAAAGATATGAAGGATGTAAAAATGAGCTCAATTAATTTCTTATGAGAAACAAAACAGCCGAAAAGGGTAAATATTTCAAAAAGCCAAAGTTGCACCAATACCAAGAGTCATAGCACCCTATATGGAAGAATAAAGATTCCAAAAGGAGGAAAAAATACAGAGGGGAAATGACTCACAATAGAATGGATGAATGGATGCTTAGTAAGCATTCACACAATAAATAAATGCCTTAAAGTTAGTTTAAGAGTCGAAACTAGATGAAAAAGGAATAGAGGAGCTCAAATGATCAGGAAGAAGGTAAAAGGGAAAAACAAGAGCAAGAAACAGATGAAATAAGCAGAATAAACCAGATCTTCAATAAATTGAACATTCTCAGATGAGAGACACCAAAACTTTAACAGGCCAAGACTAGTTTTACAAGAACGGTTCTAAATATCAAAAAGCTGACTAATTTGTGAAAGTTGATTGACATTTCTTGGGGTTCAGAGATTAAAGTTCAAATTAGTAAGATGCTAAAAGGATGCTACAGTTCCTAATGTATTCTCAATTAGAAATAATTAACTGAAAAAGATAATAGTTCAATGGTTGATTTAATATCAATACTGAAAGTCATATTAGAAGAGTCCTGAATGAGACCTTCAGTACCTTAATTGCTGGAAAAGCTTAAAGAGATCCATGATTAGTTGAACATGTTGGCCTAAATACTGTATGTTGTAATTTTCCTATTAACTTTTAAAAAATGCTGTTTGTGATATGTAAAAACTCATAATTACTTAAAAAAGTTATATCTTTTGTTATATTTTTCACCCATGGATGTCGCCATTTTTCACTTGTGCAATGCATCTTGAGTTGATGTTGCGGTTATTTCCCTTCTGTACTGGAATCTACAGAGTAAACACAGGAAGGCTAACATTACTAGGAGTGCCGAAAGAACTGATCATTAAAGAATCTAGATTCCTAGTCCTGGCGACTCTGAATAGACTCTAAAGGCCCATAAATCAATTTTCTGCTCCTCCTCATGAGTATACTGCATATCGCACTACGTGTCCACTCGGCCACCTTAGAATTTGGCCTTGCAGGCCACCGTACAGCAAGCTAATTAGCCAGCTCCCTTTATCTGAACAGAGATCGCTAACACGGAGTGGAGGACAGCGCGATTCAACCCGTTCCTTTGTTGTTAAAAGTCGGTGTAAAGTAATTTTGGTTCCTACTATGTTCCAGGGAAGACAGAGCTTGACAAGGGCATGGTTGTTTGCAAGAAGTATAAATTAAAAATGCTGTACTGTATTTTGGAAATACAACAAATGCAAGGAAGGTAGATGAAAAGCAAAGCAGCGGACCAAAGAACTCTGCAACAAACTTCCAGCTAATTCCCCAAGCAGGGTTGTGAATATTTCCCCCTCCATCGCCTGCTATATCACAAAGATTTATGACCAGACAGCTCAGTGGAAGGTGAGGGGTTTAGGCTTATGTTTAATACGCTGGAGTACGTTATTCCTTCACATAGCTTTTAGCGAAAGCAGCATCACAACTTGACCATGAAAGAATAAAGTGGGAGAAGCTCTGATTAATGCACCAGCTGCAGATCAAAGGCTAACTGTTTTTTCTCATAATATACAAAAACTTATATAGACAAGTTATACAAAAAATTTAATGTCATTTATCTTTTTAACAGGTTGAAGAGAGGCCAGCTGAGACACTTCGCCTGGAACCAGATCTAAATTACAAAGTATACAACTTAGATGGTTTATAAATTACATTCAGTTCAGAAGAGTTTTTGTGCAGACTTGCACAGGTTTTGGAATTTTGTTAAAGATTTACCAAATATGAATCAATATGGTTAAGACTGTGAAGTCTGTATTTTTCATAGTAGGTTAAGTTTTGAAAATATAGCAAATGTTAGTGCAATATGGTTAAAAATACTGGACGGAGCTAGCACTACAGGACCTAATGTATGTCATTTACCCAGAATGCACTGCAGCATTAAAAACAAGGCGACGTCCGTGTGACAATATTTTATTCAAATTTATAAAAACTAAACAGCCTACAATATTTTTACTGTATTGTTTTTACATCTAAAATAAATTTTGCTCAAATAAAGTCTATTGTTACAACTAATCGTGGATCCCTTTAAAAGACATCCCGATGGGATGAGTTAGAAAAAAGGTACAGAATATGAATGAATAATGTAAATGGTAAATGGACTGTACTTATATAGCGCCTTTCTATCTTATTTCAAGACACTCAAAGCGCTTTACACAACAATCTGTGTCCTCATTTATCCATTCATACAGCACTCTACTAGATCTCTACAAAGATAATTGAACAAATCATTCTAAAGAGACTAATCAGAGCTTTATCACATTCATAGACTGATGGGACACACATCAGAGGCTATGAGGGGTTCACTGTTTTGCCCAGGGACACTTCAACATGTGACTGCTGGTGGATTCGAACCCCCAACTCTCACATTGGAGGACGACTGCTCTAACCACTCTGTCACAGCTGCCCTGTAGCTGAGGTATAATTTGAGCTTTTGAGATTTTAATCTGCAGCTCCCAGTTGTAGAAAACCTTGTTATGGTTAAGCATCATAACAAATGTCCAAAAGAAAAGAAAGGTTTCAGTAAAATTCCTTCCAGCGGCACAGCATCCAATACCAGAGAAAGCAATCATTTGAAAAAAGTGATCTACATCCAGAAAAAAGAGCAATTGAAGTTTTCAAAAGCAAAATCTCAGAATGAATGCAAGAGAGCTACTCCAACATGCAGCCACACCGAGTGGTGCCATTCTGGAATATGGAACAATGACACCATCATCCATGCATTTCATGGGTTTGGCCACATTTATTTATTTTTTTGCTTTTAGTTGTAGTTAGCTAATTTTAGAGCTTAGCATCAGTTTCAAGACATTTAGCTCCTAGCTACTGTTTAACTACCATAATTTTAGTTTCCGTTTTAGCTTTTGTTCATGCTGCTTTTTAAAGGATCTCAGGACACAGATGTTTTCTGAGCAAAGACGCACCTGAACTGATCCGGACCGTAGACCGGTTGGGGGGTAGTTTTAGCCACTCCACAGGACCAAACCCAACCGCAGGACTCCAGACCACAATGTAGCCACAGCTGGCTGTAAGACTCTGGGGCCAGGACAGGTCCAAGTTTCTGTTGCTGCCAATTATTGAGAATGTCTTCACCTCAGTCCCACCTGGAAACGAAAACATGGAGCATTTCACTCTAACATGTAAATGACCTTGGTCAGACACAATACGGACATAGGTGTGTCACAGAGTAATTTATAAAAACTAAACACTAAATTAGAAATACGCTGTCTGGATGTTTGGTTCTGATGAGATCAAATTCCCTGAGCAGAAATCAATGCATCTGGACCATCAGAGGATGCTGAGCATCCCCAGTAAGTAAGTTCACAGCCCTGATAACAGCTGCTCCAGCTCCCTGCTGCAGCTCCCCAAATTCAGTTTGAGCACTGTCAAGCTTCGACACATCCACACAAATTTATAGACAATCCAGAATTCACCAGCCAAACAGCAAAATAACCTGTTGTCATCATGAATCCAATTTGTTTCCGTCGAGGTAAGAGGGTCCTCCTTACCCTGACTCCTGTCAAGAAAAGTTGATCAATTTTGTTGAGAGACCAGCTGAAACTTCGAATTAAGAGGTATGCAGAAAAAAACAAAAAAAGAGGCTCTTTAAGGGTTCACAGGACAAAAGAGTGCAGCAGGGAAGTGGGTGAGTGTGTGTGTGTGTGTGTGTGTGGGGGGGGGGGGACAGGGAGACATGTCTGGTTCCACCGGAGGACAGAGAGAAAAAAAAAAGCCTGCTCGTCAAGCCTCTTTTTAAAATCTGACAGATGGATCTCACCCCACCTGCCTGCAAAGACCTGTTACTACAATTGGATCCTGAGTCTCCCCAGCAGCTGCAAATCAACCAATAAAACAGTTTCTTTGTTTTACCATTCTTGTCGTCTGGCTGAGTTTGAATCTTAAAATCTTGCATCATAGGTGTCACAACCATTATATGTGAAGGGGACAAGCCCCCCCCCCCCCCCACATTAAAAAAACGTTCATTTGGACCCTCCCACTTTTACTATAAAACATTCGTTCAGGCGGCGCAGTTTCTCTTTCTTCGTGAACAAATCCATTCCACTTGATTAATAGGATAATACTCAAGCTACTAAAACTCCACTCCAGGTTTTCCAGGTTACCTCCAACTCTCCACCGTCTCTTCCTGCCTCTTGTCGTGGCAGAAAACGCGCACAGGTGGAGGAGGTGGAGGTACCTGTGTTACTCGCTCGCCAGTTTAGCAGCTTAGTGTGGGCAGTTGTTGACCAGGGGGTTGATCATAAACATATATTCATGTTAAGAGGATGCTTGAGAGGAGCTATGTCTGTAGCATCTTAGCTTAGCAGTAACTGTGACGCTGTAAGACGCTGCAGGTGTAAGAGACGGTGTGTGTTCAGGTGCATTAAAGTTGAAATGTCTTTAAAACCCCACACCTTATTGTCCTCAAGCTTCATGAGAAACATCATTTAGATGAGCAGTGTTGAACACAAGTAAAAAAAAAGTCCAGTGGTGATGATTTTTATTTCTCTATAAAGACAAATAGTGCCGACCTGACGCTCTGTATTAAAGTGTATTAAAGTTAAAATGTCTTTAAAATCCACAGATGAATTTACACAAACTTGGTGAGAAACATGTTTTAAATGTGTGGAATTAAAGGAAATCTAGGTGAACTGTTGTTTTTTTGTTCACTAGTGAACACCTTTTTTTACGTGCGCACACACGTGCACGCACGCACACACACACCTACAAAATCATTGAGAGTTGGCGTCACTATCAGAAAACCGTTAAAGCTGCCAAATGTAAATTCTT